CCACACAGCCCAGAAGACCCACACCAGCCATTGTATTCCAGCCGTGAAAGCCTTCGACAATCCATGGAAAGAAATTGCCTGTTGTAGATGTTCACCTTCTACAAATGGAGGATCAACAGCAACGGAGAAGTGAAATGAACTTGTTTTCCTGGCATGTAGAGAGCACGTGCTTAGAATGCCCCAAAAGATTTTAAGGGCCATTCTGTATTGGGTACAGGGAATCAGTGCTATAAAACCAAGCTCACCTCTGGACTTGTGAGGCTACATTGATTATGCCCTTATGTTTATTCCATTTCTCATCAAAATTATTGAAGTGTTTGCTTTATAAGCTTGATTCCATGATTGTGCTAAGAGGCAAATTAAAAATTTTGCATGTCTTGATTTCAAAAAATTTATGTGATTGTGTCCAAGCCATTTCAATGAAACCAGTTGTAATTTATGACTATGGTTCAGAGAACCATAGCTTGGATTGAACAGAGGCATAATGTGAATTGAAGATAATTCTGATTCCTGATTATTCCTGCTGAACCAATCAGAACATTGTTTTGTATAATCTGTATATCTATACAGCTGGATGAATGAATGTAATTTTCTATTATTGCTTTTATTTAGCCTTATTTGCAGGGTATAATTTTCATTTTTTTACTGCGTTATCTGGTGATGAGATGTGACCAAACAGTTATGAGAAGAGATCCCATTTTTAGGTTTGTATAAATTTTAATATGCTCACAGAGAGAATGTGTGTGTGTGAGTGTTTGTGTGTTAGCTGGATGAAAGCAATTATATTTTTAATAATAATAACTTGATTGATTGATTACATGCCATCAAGCTGGTGTCAACTCTTAGCAACCACATAGATTTTCTCCATGACAGTCTGTCCCTAACATGGTCCTTCAAGCTGCACCCATCGCTACTGTAACTGAGTCCATCCATCTTGCTGCTGGTCATCCTCTTCTTCTCTTTCCATCATCATCATCATCATCATCATCCCCCAGTGAGGCGCTACCTTGATGTGGTTGTGGGGCTTGCATGCTCCAAGGAGGTTGAGAGCTATGCTAGAGGTTCAACTATACTGGACAGATCTCATCAGAGGAGCCAGACAAAGAGTGTCTCTCCCATAAATAATATGGTGAGATGTAATTTACAGAAACCCATACCAGATTGGTTGTTGCCCAAGTCAACAAGGACTGCGCTAGGTGTTCTAGTTCCTGGACATTTGGTGACAAGTGGGGTACAGGACTGTTGGCTAAGCAACCAGGGCCACCAGCTTCAGGATTGCTGGAAGAAAAGTTGTTTACTCATCACAAATATACAAAGACTGAAAACAAAGATAATGATCCGCTATTACAAATCAAGTCCAACGAAAAGAGGATATCTGAAAAGAATGCACCAGTTCTGGAAAGAACAACTTGCAGAATCAGAAACAACAGAACAGAGGCTAGCAGATCAACGTTGATCTATAACATGAAATAAATATTCACAGAAGTAGAATTGAAAGAACTGCAAAGGTCTACCTAGGGCAAAGAAATCAAAGCCTTGCCAGCAGCAGCTCAGATAATAGAGCCTTCTCAGAAAAAACAAAGCCCTCTAACTGAAAAACAAGAGGAATTGAAACAAAGAATAATTGAGCATCTAGAACAGCACAAAAACA